GTTAAAAATGAAACTTGCCAAGCCTCTGTAAACTATCACTTTACAATAGTACTAAGTCAGTTTTACTTTTGAACTTACACGTGATTTAAACACTGAGTTAGGTGGATTCCAAGGAAGAAAATGACAGACTCGCAGTGAGCAGTGAGGGACAGAGTTAAAAGCGACAGCTTACATAGGATCAGGCAGGAGGCAGGAAATCCACAGAGTCTAGCGAGTACCAGAGCTGGCATGACTAGGGGCAGAAAAGTTCCCAAAGGAAGAGGAAGGAAGTTACCAGAACATGTGGTGAGGGCTGCTGCCCAGGGCACGTGACCCTCTGTGATAACCATTCTCTGTCTTCATTTTCCTTTTTCAAAAACATGACCGAAGCTTCTTGTGGTATCCCACACCTTTAATCCCAGCGCTCGAGAGGTAGAGGTAGGTGAATCTCTGTAAGATCCAGGCCAGCCTGGTCTACATAGCGAGTTCCAGGCCAGCTGGGACTACAGGGAGACCCTGTCTCATCAAACAAACAAAAATACAGCTGAAGTCAAGGGAGTGTGGGGTGCAGGCTAGGCAGTTGATCTGCCTATAGCTCGGACAGGACGAAGACTGGAGCACTTACAGGAGGAGCAGGCAACTACAGCTGAAGTCAAGGGAGTGTGGGGTGCAGGCTAGGCAGTTGATCTGCCTGTAGCTTGGACAGGACGAAGACTGGAGCACTTACAGGAGGAGCAGGCAATCCTCAAGAGGCAACAGCACTGTCTAGACAAGATTCCCTGCCTGTCAGCTACCCAACCCCAACCCCTCTCTTTTTCATCTTTTCTTTTTTAAAAAAAAAAATCACAAAGCTCCTGTTAGCCCCATGAAGACAGACCTGGGGACACTGAACTCCTTCGTGGGCTCTTCCCAATGCAGCCACGTGTATGTAATCGTTCTCTGCGCCCTCCCCGCCTACTCTGTAACCTCTTTGATTAGCATATGGGACAAGTGGTAGAGCCTCGTCTGTTGAGACTCCCAGAGTCAGAGCTTTTGCCCTAAAACTCCTGTAATGGGAGAAGACAATCTCCAAGCCAAGGAATCCCCAAGGTTGCCAAGAAATTGAAACAGAGGCAGAGAACAGATTCTCCCTCACATAGGAACCAACCCCATCAACACCTTGATTTCCAGAACACTAAGACAATAATTGCTATTGTTTAAGATGTCCAGGTGATGGCAGTTTATTAGCGCAGACTGGCACACATGGTCACTATCCTTCCCCAACCACGTCTCACTGAGCACACCCCACAGACAGTGTGTCATCTTTCCTCTGAACAGAACTCTTCATGTTTTCCCCAGTCTAGTTGTCAGACCACTTTCCATCAAGTCCCTCAGGTTACAGGCCCAGAACAGCTTCTCTCTTTTCTAGCACCCAGCCAGCCAGACGCCATGACCTCCCAATCCTTCCACATAGACGTTTCTCTTCCGTCTTCTCTCCCAGCTCCCCCTGTCCTGTTTCCATCTCTACCCGCCGCTGCGTGGGCCACTACAGCGATGGTCCCTTGACTAGTCTTCTGATTCTGATGACAGCAGAGTGTTCTGACTAAAGAGAGGATCCTGTCCACGTGACTACTGCTATGGTCCCCACTTCACCGCTTCTAGGATGCACCTCAAACTCCCTCACATGACACATGAACACTGTGTGCTTTAACCCAGCACATTCCCCCAACCTTATGCTTTGTACTTTCCTATGTGAATTTGAAGACAGCAGACTCCCTTCAGAATAAATCCTATTCCCTGCTTTAATCTTTTGTGTAAGTTAGGCTCCGGTTTGGAAAATCTAGCCATAGAACATTCCATTTAATATTTAGCCCAGAGAGTGCTGGATGGAGGAGATTCCTCCCGTGTCTTTCAGTTTGGGATTGCAAGCCTTCATCTGTGTCCCATCGAGATGCCCCATGTGTCCCTCAGCCTCCGTCCTAACAACGTCACAGTGTTAACAAGGTGTCACTGTGTTTCACTGACTCCTTTGAAGGGACACTGTCTAACTTACTGTAATATCCTAAGAGCCCAGGTTGAAACTCATGGGGTAACAGTAATTGTTGAGTTTGTTCAGGCTTGGCCCTCGGTAATCCTGCCCTGATCTGTACACAGAACGGTTATCTGTTACGTTGCTTCTATTTGAAATGACTTGAGGACAGTCATCTCTGTCCTAGATAGAGGTCAGGCAGCGTGGGCCCCTGCCTAAAACATGGTCCTTGGCCTCTGACCTTGCTGTGACCCACTGATACTTAAAACTATCACTTTACAAAAGTACTAAGTCAGTTTTACTTTTGAACTTACACGTGATTTAAACACTGAGTTAGGTGGATTCCAAGGAAGAAAATGACAGACTCATCCTGGGCAGTGAGGGACAGAGTTAAAAGCGACAGCTTACATAGGATCAGGCAGGAGGCAGGAAATCCACAGAGTCTAGCGAGTACCAGAGCTGGCATGACTAGGGGCAGAAAAGTTCCCAAAGGAAGAGGAAGGAAGTTACCAGAACATGTGGTGAGGGCTGCTGCCCAGGGCACGTGACCCTCTGTGATAACCATTCTCTGTCTTCATTTTCCTTAATCAAAAACATGACCGAAGCTTCTTGTGGTATCCCACACCTTTAATCCCAGCGCTCGAGAGGTAGAGGTAGGTGAATCTCTGTAAGATCCAGGCCAGCCTGGTCTACATAGCGAGTTCCAGGCCAGCTGGGACTACAGGGAGACCCTGTCTCATCAAACAAACAAAAATACAGCTGAAGTCAAGGGAGTGTGGGGTGCAGGCTAGGCAGTTGATCTGCCTATAGCTCGGACAGGACGAAGACTGGAGCACTTACAGGAGGAGCAGGCAACGATAGACAGCCCAGGAAATTGAAACTACAGGCTGGGGATGTGGTTCAGCGCTTGCCTAACGTGCAGGATGCCCTGGTCTCAACCTCCAGTACCAAACACACATAAAAGAAATGAATACTAAATGTTAGAAATAGAAAATAAACCATGACTTTAGTGAGCTTATCAGTCTGGACCAAGAGTTTAAAAACATTGGTTCATGTGTGTAAAAGCTGTGAAACTACCATGTTGGTAGCACCCAGCAGTTGTCAACTGAAGGCAACGACGTCCTTTGCTACCATTTTACTTGAATTTTTATTCATCTTATATTTTCTTCAAAAGAGGTCTGAATAAAGGGGGGAAAGCCGATGTTATTTTTGAGAAGAGGTACAGCAAGCAAAGCCCTTTCTGCCATATGTTCGTGATGGAGGTCTTCCTACTCATGAAAAGTTCTTGAATGATGGCATCACCTCCCAAGGAGGACAGCTAAGGACAGAAAATGACGAGGAATGAGCAATCTTAAGTCACACTTCCACGGCTATAACTTAAATGAAATCATAATCTGTTACCTTCATAGACGAGTGAGTGTCCTCTCTTTAGCCCAGTCTTGGACATCTGCTTTTCCAAATATGAGATAGATGATTAAGCCGAATAGATTGATGGCAAACAATAAGTAAAAGAAACTTGTCCACCCGAACTCAGGGTCCTAGAGACACAAAACCCCAAATGAAAATCTGTCGCATTTTTCCTGTGAAACAATCACTAATATTGACTAGTGGGCTTCCGTCCTGGTTTGCTTTTCTGTTGCTGTGATAAAACACTGACCAAAAGCAAGCTGGAGAAGACAGGGTTTATTTCATCTCACACTTCTAAGGCATAGTCTATTTTTGAGCAAAGTCAGGCAAAAACTCAGGCAGGAACCTGGAATCAGGAGCTGAAGCAGAGACCGTGGAGGAGCGCTGCTCACTGGCTGGCTTCCCCCTGGTTCATTCAGCTAGCTTTTTCTTTTCTTTTAATTTTTTTGATTTATTTATTCTTATTTTATGTATATGAGTGTTTTGCCTGCATGCATGTAGGTGCACCATGAGCGTGACGTGTCCACGGAGGGCAGAAAAGGGCATCAGATCTCCTGGAACGAGTTATGGATGGTTGTTAACTACAAGTGGGAACCGGGAAGGAAACCCAGGCCCTCTGCAAGAGCAGCCAGTGCTCTTAACCACTGAACTTGGCTCCTCAGCTGTCTTCTGTACACAGCCCCAGTCCACCTGCCCAGGGATGGCACCACCCACAGTGGGCTGGGCCCACCTACATCAATTAGCGATTAAGAAAATGCACCACAGACTTGTCCACAGGCCAGTCTGATGGAGGAAATTCTTTAATTGAGCTTCTCTCTTCCCAGTTGATTCTACTTTATGCAAAATTGACCCCCTCCCCCCAAAAAACTAACCCCAAAAGTTTCCAAGTTGACATTTATTTCCTAGATGCGTCCTGATTTGGAGAATGTCTTGATTTGAGATGGAGAAAAGAATTACAAAATATATTCAAAATATCCTAATAAAGGGGTTTGGAGACCCTCATGATAACCTGCAGATCTATGCTCGTCACTGTTATCAAATGTCATACATTGTCTCTTACAAAAATTCTGCATCCATGAGCTATGCTAAGAATATTTCTACAATCCTTCTTCCTCAGAGACAATGTAGTGGAAAAACCCTGGGCTTTGGAGCTGTTTCCTTTGAGCAGAAAGGCTTAGTCTACCAGATTTTCAGTTTAAGCATTAGGAAATGAGGTGAGAATGTTTTATTTTCACAATGAGAGAATCAATAATTCGAGGAGATTATGACACATGAAATGCCTGTGACAATGCCAGCATGCATCAGGCATTTAAACGTGCTGGCTCTCCTCCCTTTCCCTGTTCATAGTTATGCAAATGAAGCTTCAGCCCCGGATGGCCTGGCAGATCAGTGTGGCACTGTTATCCTGAGACACCTATGGGTTACGCAATTTTGGTAATAAGGACAGTAGCTTCTGATGAATCTGTAGGTGGTTTTTTGGCTCTAGAATAAGCTGGGGTTAGAGTCACCAAAGAGATGATTCTGTACTGCATGATGTCATCCACAATTTAATACACTTTACAGCCTTTGAACACAGCCTTTATGCTATCGCTTTTATAAATGGATGTGGAAGAGCACTGTAAGAGTCTGTCTTGGGATCATGGGTACCTTATTGAGGAGCAAGCCACCGAAGATGGGGACCAGCACCGCAGAAGAATGCGCCAGTCCTCTGCACGTTCCCATGAGAAGGCCGGCGTATCTGTGGGCGACAGCAATGTCCCAGCTAAATCCAGACGTGCCTGAAAGCATATTTCAGCCCTTCTTCATGTAAGAATCCATCACACCATTATATCAAACAGGACTTGGGTTGTGTATATTCAATAGGAGGCCCTGAGCCCAATCCATACCCTCCCTCAGCATACGACAGGTCCATTCACCTGTTGTTCTCCCAAGTTTGGGGCTCCCAGAAAGCTGCAAGTGAATTTATTGTTTCTTCCTGGAAATGTAAGAGTAGAGATACGAGTCTTACCTCGGGGCAATGTCTAAAGCGTTGATGTAGCTCCCAGACTGACTCAGGGGGCATATTCCACAGGACAGTGTCAGACATGCAATGGTTGTGATGTAGCTGGACTGCAGGTAAGGCAGAGCCACCATGAGGGCTGCAGGGGGCAGATTTCCTAGAGGACCAAAGCCAGTGAGATGCACCCTTCAGCTGCCGACTTCTGGGAAAGCACTCTGCTCTCACGCCCTGTTCTTACCTAAAAACGTGATGATTTTTCTCACGGTGATGAGCTTCAAATTCTTGGTCAGAAGGAAATCTGCCAGCTGACCTCCCAGAATACCAACAATCCAGGCAACGAAAAAGGGAAGGGACGACAGGAATCCATTCTGATGGGATAGGACGGAAGGAATGACCATCCTTGAGTCAGCAGGCAGCTGTTGTGGCTCAGTCCCTACCAGTGTGCTAATACTCTGAAATCATCCCTTCTCGGGAAACCCAGGAGCCTCTTACATCATTCCCTCAGAAGCTACTGTCGTGGGTTGTAAAATAATCAGATTTTTTTTTATGAGAATTAACATCCTGTGGCTAGGAATAAATTGAGGGATCAAAGGGAAGGAGTGAGGTGAAATACACTCACCTCTCTGATATTAATTTTGAACACAGAACTGATGTAAGTTGGGGTGTATATTATGAAGGTGTTAACCATCCACTGATGACTGAAAGTGCAAATACACATGGACCAAAGTGGCAGAGATCGGACCATGGCTTTGATTGGCAGTGGCTGCTCTGCAGAGCTGTCCTGAAACGAATGCATAGGTCCAAGCAGTGAGTTGCATGTGAGGCTCACACAGCCTCAGACATTTTCAGAAACCCAGATGTGGATAGGTTTCTGCACAGGTTGCCGTCCTTATATACCTGCTGTTCCAGGGAGGATAAAATGTATTCTTTTTCCGGGATGCTTATCCATGGGTGAGAGGCAGGGTCATCATAAACAAGAACGATCCAGAGGAAACAGCAGACAGCACCCACACCTCCTACAAGCAGAGGGCGTGCTCAGTCAGGGAGCTCATTTCTGCTTTTTTAAAAAATACTTTTACTATTTTTATGTATATGCGTGTATTGCCTGCATGTATGTAAGTGCACCCGTATTGTGCAATGCCCGCAGAGGGCAGAGGAGGGCGTTAGATCCCCTGGAACTGGAGTTACGGATACTTGTTAGCTGCCATGTGGGTGCTGGGATTCGAACCCAGGTCTTCTGCAAGAACAGCCAGTGTTCTTAACCACTGAGCCATCTCTCCAGCCCCTCATTTCTGCTTTTTTAAATTTTAAAACATGGACATTTAAATTTGGAATAATGCTAGATTTGTTAAAACGTCACAAAGCTAACTCGGAGTTGGGGCTCACCCTTGCTGGGCTTCCCGATGGCTGACATCCGCACACCAGCTGGGACCTCCCTGGCATGCTACTGCTACATTCTGGATTTATATGGATTCCACAGCTTCACTTTTTATTGGGGAGTATTTTCTGTACATAATGTTGGGTTTTTATGCAGATAATTTCTTTCAAATGTACCATTTACTTTTACCATATTCACCCCTCCCATTTCCTCCCCTTTAGTCACTGACCTCCTTCTCCTCCCCTTCCCCTCCCCCTTCCTCTCCCCTTCCCCTCCCTCTCCTGCCCTAGTCTTCCTTTCGCCTTTAATTGTGTGTGTGTGTGTGTGAGTGTGTGATGTATGTTCACGTTCATGTGGGCATATGTGCCTGTGGAGATCAACATTGGTGTGTGTGTGTGTGTGTGTGTGTGTGTGTGTGTGATGTATGTACATGTTCATGTGGGCATATGTGCCTGTGGAGATCAACATTAGAAGCACACATCTCTCTGGATTACTTTCTTCTGTCTCTTAGAAACCATGGCTCCGCAGACCTGTCTCCTCCTGCCTGCAAGGCACAGTGTTCCCAAGGATACTGAAATGGCTGAGCTTTAGGGCAGGAGAGCACTTTACCAGGAGCAGGAGGACTTCTGACGTCGTAGCTAGCACACGGTATTTCCTTATATTATGGCATTTCTGCCTGCAAGGCACAGTGTTCCCAAGGATACTGAAATGGCTGAGCTTTAGGGAAGGAGAGCACTTTACCAGGAGCAGGAGGACTTCTGACCTTGTAGCTAGCACACGGTATTTCCTTATATTATGGCATTTTGTTTCTTGAACATTTTTATCTTTTGACTCTTTTTCCTTCAGAAAAGTTCACACAGACGTTCAGATTTAGAGCCCTCCTGAACGTGAAAGCCCGAGGACAGGAGCGTGGCTTACCAAAGACATAGAAGACAAAGGGCCACCCGATGGCCTCACTAATGATGCCGCCCATGAGGAGGACAGTGAAGATTCCCAGTATCATCCCTGCAGAGACAGAGAGAAGGTGGTGGAGTCCGGCCTCCTGCCAGACACATTGCAGGCTGACAGACCACAAGCCACAAAACGAGCCTCTGCAAAGGCAGAGCCTTCAGACCAATGATTTAATTCATATCCTCCCAATAGGCCATTTTTTTCCTCATAGTTCCCAGGTAACATTGCAAATGGCTGTCATTCCTTTCCTGCAGTCTTAATTTTTAATTACGTGGATGAAATCCACCACGAAGAGCTTGCACTTACTGTTTGTATCTATACACCCACTCATTCTTTAATTCTGCATGCACAAAGATAGGTTTGTCCATAAAAGTGCTAATAACACTGTTTTAACTTTTATAGTCTCACAGGTCATATGGTAGGCATATTCTTTCACAACTTTTCAAATATTCCTGTTATGCACTTTTAACTTAAATTTTTTTATTTTTGAGAATTTCATTTCTGAGTATTGTCTTTGCATTATTTCTGTCCCTCCCAGGCCCTTGCCAACTCCTCCCATGTCCCCTCACTTCCTCTCAATTTCTAGTCTTGGTCTTTGAATATTATTGTTATATATACATACATGCATTTATAAATGTACATATATATATATATAATGCATTAAGTCCATTTAATGATGCTCATGTGTACTGTGTTTAGTGCTGTCCACTTGGGATTAGATAACCTCTCAGAGCTAAACCCTGCAGAAAACTGATTTTCCTCTCCTCAGTATCCACTGTCTGCTCGTAACTCTTCATCTTGAGGTGGGACCCCACAACATTCCGCATCTACCTTCTCATGCCAACTGGTTTTACCATTGTGCAGATATTGCTAGACTACCACACTGTGTAGATTTCACTGGAACGGCTTCCCTACCACATCTAGAATGCATTGACTAGCAGTAGGTGTCTTGTCCTTCCAGCTCTTACATTCTTTCTGCCCCTCTTCCAAGATGTTTGTTCCTGAACCTTAGGTTTAGAGGTTGCATTGTGGATGTGCCTCTTAGGACTGGGCACCTCACAGTCTGGTTCTCATGGGTTCAGAAGATACTATGCAAATTGCCAAGGGAAAAAAATACCCAATCAATAATCCTACCTAGCCATAGGGTCTACAAAGCACAATGACCGGCCCAGCAGACTATCTCTACTGGTGCAGTAGTCGCACTTTTATCTTAGGAATAATCAGCAGCTGTCTAACTAGACTAAAGTTTTGCTCAGTAGGAAGGAACTCACGTGTAGTACTGTAAACACAGCCAAGTACACATGACTGGAGAGGTCATGGACCCTGGAGAAGGACCTACCCTGTCACTTCCCTAGACCAGTGTAATTTTTATGTTCTACACACCTAACCTTATATTTCCAGTCCAGTGTACCTCTCACCACTCATCAAAGAAGCTTCTTTTTCCAAAAGATGGAGACTGTTATGAAGTTCTACCACCAATCAAACACAGAGAATAAGTGACTGTTCACTTTTTATGCTCCAGTTGACCAGTAATAGTAACTTGTCAAATCATATATATATATGTTATTTTAAAATAAGCAAGATCATAATGTACCTATTTTTGTAACATTCATCGTTAACTGTGGTTGCATGTGTGTGTGTGTGTGTGTGTGTGTGTGTGTGTGTGTGTGTGTGTGCATGTGCTCTCGGAGGCCAGAGAAAGGTGTCAGATCCCCTGGAGCTGGAGTTAAAGGCACTTGTGAGTTGCCTGACTTGGGGGCTGGGACCTGAACTTGGGTCCTCTGCAAGAGCTATGCCTGTTCTTAACCACTGAGTCATCTCTCCAACCCCTAATGGCTTTATGAGGATTCCCAGTGCACCGTAAATTCTAAACAGACATCATTACTCAGTGCTGAACTTAAACATTATTTTGTGCAATAGAGAATCAGAAGTAGTCTTGCTGCATCAAAGGCTAGTGTGCTTTAAATTTTGCTAAAAACTGTAAAACTGTAATCAGATACTGTGAAAACTATCAATTTAAGTTGCTAACAGATTTTGTTTTTGCTCATCTCCTAGACAATATCTAATATTGGAAAAATTTTAAGCAATTGCCTTCCAATATGAACAATAAAGATAGCCACGTTTGGTTTTCTTTTTTTTATAGTGAAGTTGAATTTTCCTGTTTGACAACTTTATTGTCTGTTCATCTTTTTCTTCTCTTCTTTTCTCGTTGCAGAATCTACATATTGTGAACAGTCCTGAGGCACGCTGGCGACTTTTCCCAACTTTATGCTGCTGAATTTCACAATCTGCAGTTGTAGATGTTTATGGAATCAAATCTATGGCCTCTAGATTCACTCTTTTGCTGGCCTTTTTTAAAAAGCCTACACTGCAATGCAGAAATGGCTGTTTACATTTCCTTTTTCTTTTATCTGTGTTTATTGAAGCAATATTGTCCAGGTAGATCTGGCGCTAGAACGGCACCAACTTCGAGCCTCCTGCACCTGAACTCTGGTACTTGGTGGCCTCTTTCAAGTGCCCCCTTTCTCTGTAATTAACAGGGTGACTTGGGGCAAGTTATTTAACTTTTCGTGTCTATACTTCATCAAATGCAAGTTTGATTGCTAGTATTCAAATGAGATGACACACACAATATTGCTTCAATAAACAAACATTCCATCAATGAGTTACAATCGGAGTCCATAAAAGACCCAGATCAATTTAACTACATAAAAATACTTTTTAAATGTCAGAAATCATAAAGTTATGCAACAATTTGCAAAACAGGAGAAATAACTAAAAATCATACTGCAGATGAAGGACTGGCGTCCTTAATTGACATAAACACTTCCTTGATATTGGGCAAAGGAGGAAGAACCGTGCCGCAGAGGTACCATCAGTGAGCCCCATGGGAAGCACGAGCTGCCACGACTCCATCTGCGCTGGACACATTTACCTGACAGAGCCATGCTGCAGAGTCGGCTTCGTTCGTGAGGAGGAGCCCACTTTTGCCAGAGTACAAACTGACCCCCAAATGCTGTGCCCTGAAATAAAAAGTTAGAGATCTTGATAGGATACCGGGTAGACACTCATACCCAGCTGTGATTGAGAACACTCAGTACCTGGGTTAAGCCCTGGACTGCTCGGGTGGTGAGAAGGAATGCTAGTCCAAGATTAGCAGCCTGTGGGATGCAAAGAGTGAGCAGGGACGATCCCAACAAAGCAAATCCAACCACTTTCTTTGTTCCTATTCTTGAAGCCAGGTATCCGCCGGGAGCCTGCATCAGCATCATGCCGTATTGGATGGAACTAAAGATGATGCCTTGGGTTTGAGGACTCCAGTCATACACAGGGGCCTTCAGGAAGCAGAAGATGCTGTTGTCACACACAGGACGTCATACCAAGCTTCTTTAGATCAGCATTTTCTCAAAAAAAAGTTTTTGACACATCTGGGTCTGGTGGCCCACACCTGTAATCCTTGCTACTCAAGAACACACAGGACGTCATACCAAGCTTCTTTAGATCAGCATTTTCTCAAAAAAAGTTTTTAACACATCTGGGTCTGGTGGCCCACACCTGTAATCCTTGCTACTCAAGGGGCCAAGGCAGAACCACAGGTCCAAGGGCTACAGAGTGAGCTCAGGGCCAATCTGTGCAACTTGATGAGATCCTGTCTCAAAATAAAATGCCAAAAAAAAGGAGAGGGGCTGGAAATTAGCTCAGCTGTACAACGATTGTCTGGTGTGTATACAGTCCTGACTTCTACCCCAAGAACTGTAAAATGTTTAAAACATATAAACTCTAGAAAAATAAATACTTACCCCCCAAAACAGCAAAAATAGGAGCCTGGGGGCTGGGAGAGGTTCAGCTGGAAAAGCGCTTCCCTGCCACACAAGCATCAGGACCTGAATTCAGTCCTCAGAACCCACATTAAAGGCCTGACATTGCAGGGTGGAATCCTAGTGCTGGGGGCAGAGACTGGAGGATCCCTCAGGCTTGCTGACTAGCTAGTCAGCCCAGCCTAATTTTCAAGCCTCAGATTCCAGTTAGAGAGCCTTCCTCAAGACAACAAGGTAGACAGCTCCTGAAGAATGGCATCCAACTTTGACCTCTGGCCTGCACATGCACGTGCACCCCCCACGTGCGCACACATACACACAAACGGTAGAACACCCTTAATTAAATTCTGCACTGCTTACCTTTGTGGAGAGATGCTTCGAGCCTTCGTGCTGGCCACTGTTTAGGTTGGCAGGAAGCCCCTCAGTGGAGCTGTTGAGCTGGGATGGACGGTCTGTGCTGTTCACCATGGCCACCATGGTGATGTTTATGATAGAGTTCTGAGCTATCAGTGTGAAGTTGCAGAAATGTGCCATGAAGGCTATTCCGTACCGTGTGGAACATAAATTTGGGACTGGAAAGGGGACATAGAGTCATCTGCTTACCATATGAACCAACAATATTTCACAAGATATAACAAAAAGCTGGGTATAGTGGTACAAGCTTGTAATCCTAGAACTTGGGAGGCAGAGGCAGGAAGATCAGGAGTTCAAGGCCATCCTTAGCTACAATTTGGGATTAGCTTGGGCTACATGTGACCTTGTCTCAACCCCCACAAAAAAAGATATACTGTAGAAAGTTGTTACTGACCATCAAGTGGTGATTTAAATGACACCTTCTGTTGGGTGTAGAAAAAGAAGATTCAAAAGCAGCAGATGATTGAATTGAGCCAAAAGATCTTATGTATCACAGCTGTATAGAGCCTGGCTTGCATCGGGGATTCCTAGCCTTCCTCTAAGATTGTTTCTCCAACTCTTAAGTCATTCTGTTGTAGAATTGATGACATGATTCACAAGTAATTAAATAAATGTAAAACATATATTAAAAGTAAATGTTAAAAATAAAAGTGTGTATAATTACACAATGTATAATATATATAATTTGCAGCATAATTACATATGTAAGCACTAGGTATAGTTAGTGACATACTATACATACTATGTTCCTCTTACATTTCACATATATAATGTATGTTAACATCTATGTAATACAAACAAAATTTAAACTTTGAAGAAGTTGTTCATTGGGGAAGATTATTTTACTAGTCTTTAAGCACTGAGGACAAACTTTCATTTAAAGCTCAAAACTAAAAAAAAAAAATCAAGCTTAATACTAAAGACCTAGAAAAAGTTCCTCACTAAGGAAACTGACACTCTCAAATTGAAAAAATATAGCAAAACAATAGTGGAAAAGAGATAAACACGCCATTGAAATAACCTGTATCTGTAGGTCCAGAAAAATGGTAGCTTAAAATCCCGTTCCCTAGTACCCAGGGCCTGACTTCAAAGTCCAAAGATTTTAAAACATGGCCAAGAGCATTGGTGAGCAGGAGTTGATCCTCGGAAAGGGGAGCCTGGGAGCCTTGGCTGAAGGAAGCCTTGCAGCCCCGGGCCGGGTAGATGTCCTGATATCAGACTAATCTGAGAAGCAGAAAAAAGACGTGACCTTGGGAGGCTGCGTTCACCTGGTCACAGACATTCTTCATGGAAGGACGTCAGGCAAAGGGGTGCTTTCTCTCCAATCCCCAGGAGAAGCAGACTTGAAGAGTGACTGTGTGTAAATAAACTGTGCATGTGAGCACAGCATCTTACCCAGGGTGTCAAAGACCTCTCCACTGTCCTCCTATGTGGACACTTTGGCAGTGCCAATGTCTATAGTTAGTAGATTCACTTCAGAGAAACAGGCAAGAGCGGGCTGACCACTGTCCAAAGCCATGCCCTCAGATCCAAACGATATCGTCAGTCAGTTATCAAACACACACTGATCACCTCCAATGTACAGCAGACCTGGACCCTGGAGCTAGTGGACCTCACGCTCCAGAAAGAAACACAAAAGATAGGAAAGCAAAACAGTAAATCATGCCGTGTCTGAGGGCATCGGTGTTCTGCAGAAAATAAAACAGGACAAGGCAGAGCCCCCGTGACATGCCTGAGAGTGGGTCAGGCAGGCATCAGAAGGGAGGGCACACGCCATAGATTTGGACATGCCCTGCAGTGGGGGGAAGAGCCTTGAGTGAGTCCTCAAAGAGCCAGGTGAGTGTGGCCGAGGGGAGGGAGCCAGAGGCAGAGGACAGAAAGAGGTCACGGGGTCTTAAGGTCGTTGGAGGTAGCCTGGCTTTTATACTGTGTGGCCCAGGGGCCTCCGGAGTGTGCGCCCCATGCCCAACACAACCATTTCTTTTTTCCTTTGTTCTTTCCTGTTCTACTAAAAGTCAACTGATCAACTGATGAACAGATCAAATTTAAACAAATCGGCAAACCCCTGAGCTCTGGTATCCCCCCAAATTTTCCAAAGAATTTTCCACATTAATAGAAATTCTATCTTTCCAAACGCTTCATAGTTTTCTTACTCAATTTTATTATTTTTGGTCGTGCTGGAGTTGAACCCAGGACCTTGTGCGTGTTAGGCAAGTAGTCAACCATTGAGCCATATCTCCAGCCTACAGTTTTCTTCCATTTCTTTCTTCTCTACCTCGCATCCAGTCTACCTGGCACACACCACTGTGTTTTCACTTACAATGCAGGAGAGCCTGGCCTCTCTCCCACCTGCCCTCTTTGGGGTTTCGCTCCCTGGCTGTGCCTCTTGCCCGGGTTTTTGCATGGCTCCCTGCTTCCACCCTACTTGGCAAAGCCATTGCCGGGGATGAAAACACCCCCTTTGCTCACAATCCTCGACATTCCTTCATCTTCACTGAGACTAAAAACCAAAGTCTCTATGTTATTGAAAATGAAATATTCATAACTTTTGTCTCAAAATGGTTGTTTGCATTTCAAAAACCTAAGGAAATGACCCAAACATGGACTTATTATGCAAGCACTGTGTTAAAGAATGTTCATTGATCATAACTCAAAAGACACGATAGCTATGGTAAACATACATGTGAGAACCAAGTGGCTTATACATTTCATACGTAGACAATAACCAAGTACCACCACAAAATGACACAGCTTAAACAGCAGCCATGGGTGGGCTGTCGGGTAGGTAACTATAAAAGTTAGGCATGCTGGAACATACTGTGTCAGTCCGAAGAGTAAACCCTGCTCCTTTGCCCGAGACAGTTCTTTTCTGTCACCTACATTCTGTCTGGGGGAGGGATGGCAGCTGGCCAGAGGTGGGGGAGAAGTTAGAGCCAAGTACAGCGACACGTGACTGAAGACGCTGTATGAGACCCATTACTTTGTGTGCAAACTTCAAAAGTTAATAAAATCTGAGTATTGTTGGTAATCTTCTAAAGGAATATGTAAAAATAGGTGTTAGCAAGTTAAAATACAGCAAATATATGCATTTTAGAGTTAAGCAAGAATGGGTACAGAATGTGTGTGAAAAATTATCTCAGCTGAACCCAGCTCATGAAAATCTTGCAGTTCTTGACTTTGGACACTACAATTTGGGGCATTTGTTTATTTAAGTAAGCAACAGACTACGTTTGCAGCATCACAAAGACTAAAGCAGAGGATACTGGGATGTGTGTGAGCAGTTTTGTCAAACAATTACCAAGAGCAAACTTGCATGTGTTAGATGGGGAAGTAAACATTCAAAAGTATATTTAAACAGGGTTTCCTTCCATAATATTAATTGTGAAACATGTTACTGGATTAAAAAAAAACAAGACCAAAAACTTAAAAGTGACAAGTCCATTGCTTTCCATTAACCCATGGCAGAAAAGAGGCACCGTGACGTCCTGTGAACACACAGCCACCCGTGTTACCTCTCCTGGGAGGGGGCTTCTTGTTGGCTGGTATGCCCAGAGAGAATGTGCTCTTCCCGATGTCGACGGGCACGCCCGGCTCTACCACTGTGGTCATCTTGTTTGCTCTTTCTGGGCGACTAGTGTTTACTAGAAAAAAGAAAAGACAGCAGGTTCATAGAAAGAATTGACCTTGAATGACCCCTCGGGTGAGCTTTATCAGGCAACAGAGCCTCATGGACAACCGTGATCTGGTCTCGAAGTGGGTGACCACTAGAAGAGACATGTACCACACCACAGGCACAGGTGGCGCCTCAAAGGAGCCCTGGAATCCAGAGAACATGGCATTTCTGACTCTTACAGGTTTTCAGGGTTGGAGGGCAAGTTCCACACCACGTGATCTAGTTGTTGGCATATGTGTCAGAAATCAGGGAAGCACTCATAAAACTACCTAGAATTCAAGGTTGTCCTTGGTCTAGGAACTGAGAGGGGCTGCCTCACAGCTGCAAGTGGGGACAGGGCCGCAAGACCTGAGCACAGCTAGCTTTCTTATCAACCTTGTCCCAGAGAGGTAGAGTTGCACGGGCCGTGGCCTGATTTCTGGGAGGCAAAGAGGCAGCTAGGCAGTCTGTGATCTAACAGTTTTCACCTCTCAGGGTGACGTGTAGCCCATGGGTTTGAATCAAAAGGAGACTCCTTTGAGACATTTGAAGAGCGGGCACTGAGCGATCAGATCCTGGCCCATTCATCTAACTGTGGTGTATCACCATCTCTTGTTTCAACGTAATGGACATCCTGCAGTCCTGTCCTGTCCTGGAACTGCTTATCACAGGGATTTAACCAGCTCAGTCTGGACCCGCTGAAGAACTCTGGCTTAGGAGCTAGGCTTTCCCCCATTCAAATCCCGGTTCACGGCCTACCTACTGTGCCAAACTCCACAGGGGCAAATCTGCAAGCCTGCTTCTCTACCTGTCATCATCAACAACAGTGTCCTGGGAAAAGTTGCTGTAGGCTTTTAAATGGATTGCTTGTCCCAAGCCAACTGCTAGGTAGAGGGTGCATTATAATAAGTATTGTCACTGTCGCTGGAACAACCAAAAATCTAGGTCACCAGAGCTGTGCACCTCTGGAGTCAGTTTCCTGCACCAGTGACCCTGACTTCTCCCTCCCTTGAAGACCCCTTGCTGCTTTCCCTGTGTGACACACCAGGTGTGTTGCTGATAATTGAGGACCAAGTGTGCAGAAGCAGGTGATACCATTCAAATCCCATAGATACTGGTCATAAGTTGATGATTTGTCTGTAGAGAAAAGAAATAACCTTTTCTACATACCAGAGACCCCTACTGTGGTACAATATTGGGGTCTCCATGCTCAAGAGAATTGCTGTGTGGGACCCTGTGCAGAATTGCAAGCTTCATACCATGTTTTGTGCTCAATTTATTAAGCTTATGAGTCAGGTAAAGAAAAACACAGAACATAATTTATGCCACTAATCAGCCGACTTGTGGGTGTCTGGTCCCCCAAAGTTGTCCTCTAGCTTCTCTGTGCATCTCCATGGTCCCATTCTCCTCCCACTGCAGTGAGTGATCTGCTCTCTGTGGTGAAGATGAACTGACGTTTCCTTGGGTGTTGTGGAGATGGACCAGCACCGTGTATGCCCACCTTTCTCATGACTTACTTTACTTACCATCATCATTTTGAAATTTACCCACATCGTACATATTTATTCTCTCCTTCCCACTGCTGAGCCACACACCACCACATAGTTACACCACAGTCTGTTTAATGCGGTCACCTTTGAGTGAAGTTTTCACGTGTAGGTATTGACCACTACAAATGAGGTTCCTGTGAAAATCCATGAGCAGGTCTCTGGGTAGACATGCGCTTTCACTTATTAGATAAACACCTAGCACTGGAACATCTGGATCATATAAGTGTACCTTTATCTCTCTAGGAAGATGGCAAACCACTTTGAAAGTTCTTACCAGCACTGCTTGAGACTTCCACATAATCAGTAGACCTGGTCAACCTTGGAAACCTGAGGAACCCCGGCAGTCCTGTCTCATCCCGGCTTCCACTATACCTCACTAGCGAAGCCAAGCATCTTTTCACGGAGGTGTTTTCTATCAATGTTTTTCTTAGAGAAATATCTTTTTAAATCTTGACTGAACGTTCTTCCTATTTTTTTCTTTTGGTCTTTTTGAGACAGGATCTCCCTGTAGTCCCAGCTGGCCTGGAACTCACTATGTAGACCAGCCTGGCCTCCATCTCACAGAGATCCGCCTGCCTCTGCCTCCTGAGTGGTGGGATTAAAGGCGTGTTCACCTCATCTGGCTTGACTGAGTGTTGTTAATTCCATGGCATGGCCAGGCTATGTTAAAAATAAGCTTTTGGTGGGCCAGCGAGATGGTTTCACAGATGCTTGATACTCAAGGCTAAGCCTGACTTCTTGAGTTTGATCCTCAAGATTCACATGAATGTAGGCGAAAACTAAGACCCCAAGTTATCCTCTGACCTCCGCATGCATGCTCTGAAACATGCACCCCTCCCATAAATCAATGTAATAAAAATTAAAATATAGGCCTTCAGCTTCTAGAGAACCTGCTTTGCTTCTCTACACAAAGCCTGGGAAACATTTAAACAAAAGACAACATTTAGGCCACCTGCAGCCTAGTGTTGGCACAGCCTAGTAGCCTTGTGCTGAACGAGGAGCGTGCTGTTCTCCACTGAGAACCACTCAGTCCCACACACTTTCATGATACTTTGTTGAATGCAGTTATGAGACTTAACCAGATCCCACTGTGAGTTTCTGCTTAAACTAGAACCTTGCAGACATCAGATTTCCATTCTGAAGGCACTCCAAGATTGCCCCCCAGGTAAGTAGCAGTAAGAATTTCCCTAAACTGTCCTCTGCATCATCCTCGGCATGCAGACTGGATTGTCGATGACTGGTCAAGGGGAGGCCCTGTGGATGCATGAAATGAGCAACACCACCCATCCCACAGGAGCGACGTGGCTAAGTTATAAGTATACTCTTGCAGTGGTTAGTTGTGGTTTGTATGTGCAATGCCCCACAGGCCTGCATGTTTGAACACTTGGTTCCTAGCTAGTAGTGCTGTTCTGAAAGGCTGCGGAACCATTAGGAAATGGCGCCTCACTGGAGGAAGTGTCTGTGGAAGTGGGCGCTGAGGTTCGATGGTCCCGCCTTACTTCCTGTCTACTCTGCTTCCTGGTTGCAGATACCAAGTGACCAGCTGCCTCATGCTTCTCTGGCCCCGCCTTCCTGGTGGTGAACCGTATCCCTTCAAACTGTAAAACGAACTGAACCTTCTGCCCTTACGTTGCTTCTTGTTACACATATTGTTGCAGCTGGAGATAAAGCAACCAATGCATCCATCTTGACTATGAAGTTGAGTGGACGGAGAGATTCCTAGGAGGTTGGCAAAGCACTCTTCTGAGCCAGGCTATGAGGGAAATTCCAGAGACATTGGTGTGGGGGCCATAACAGAGAAAGACCCACTTTGGAAGTACAGCACACTGTCCAGTGGGCTGGGGGCTCCGATGCAGCAAAAGTGAAGGAGGAGAAGGGCCTCCTCGGGCACGGGAGCTCCATCCCTGAGCCAATGCGTCCATCGCTGCTGCCATCACAAAGGCTATGAGCTTGAGTCGGGCTTAGTGCTTTACTCCCCAGACTTAATAAGTTATCAAATAAAAGCCATATAAGAATATTGTTTGTAGTAATGACTATTCTTCAGACAAGAACATTCTGACACTGCTAGACTTTGGTTCCCATCAGCTATGCTTCACATGCTGGAGCTACCACAGGCCCGTTGCAAAGACACCACGCTCCCATCCAGCCCTGCACAGGGTCCATTGGAGACACCGTGCTCCCATCCAGCCCTGCATCTGTGTACCCACTGCTTCTGCTCTGCAAGGTGACCTGCTGCTTTTGCAGATCGATCATCCTGATCAAAGAAGAGCTTCCCATCTACCTCCTATTTCTAAAGATGGCCCACAGAACTGTCCACAGCTGCTCATGCCCATCTCCCTCTGCACGTCTAAGCCATGTACCTCACAGGAACTCTGAGGGGACCGAGTGCTCACACCTTTTCTGCCAGTGGACCTGATCCTCCCACCTCCCTATAACACACACAGTCCTGCTGACTTCGATGTTTAACTGACTTGAAACACTGGATTCTAGCTCTGATGACCCTTTCACAGTTTAAGGATGGCTCTGAAAGAAGGGGGAGAGAGTTAATCCAAAGAACAGGGTCCCGCAAAATGCTCTTTTGGCATTTCTCACACGTGCCTTTTTAAGCAGATGGCTGTTTTTTCCCTTGATCACACTAGGAGTGATTCCTTGTCTAAGTCAGAAAGCTGCTCTGAGACTTGGGGGGGGGTGCCCTAAGAAGTTTCTGGGCCAAAGCAACATTCGTAGGAAATCACACTGTAAATTAACATCCTGCAGAAACGGTTAGGTTTAAAGGCAAGGAGTGTCCTGCTAATCATTTTTGCTGCATACCTCAAGGGCACAAATGCCATCCAAACAGGACAATATTTGCCTCGAACGCATTGGATTTAAGCTGCAGAACTTCAGTCTACCGGCCATCTTCTAACGACCCCACCCACCCACCATCTTCTGATGACCCCGCCCAGTGTTACAATTGCTTCCTCTTTCCATTTCCTCTTCAATCCTAAGCGTTTTCTGTTCAGTTTATTTTTGATGGTGCTGGGGTAGAGTCTAGGTCTCCTGGGTCTGCATGTGGAGGTCCATCCCCTGATTAATATGCATGGAGTCTAAGGCAATAAGCTTGGTTACCAAAGGCTGGGCTCCTTCAGGACATGGCTGTGGCCACAGGTCTGTCTAAGAGAAAGTCCACTGTAACCTGGGGAGGGGTTCGGATCTTTGTGTGATAGGCAAAGATGCGATTGCTAAGACTAGATGCTGTTTCACTTCTCGAAGCCTCCTGTGAGTCCCATCAACTGTTAGGGTAGCAGCTCAGCATGGATGGGATGTGCAGGGGGCTTTGAGAACTTGTGAAGCAGCATCCAGTCAGCAATCGCATCTTTGCTCTGATGGAAACTCGGGACCCAGGCATGCCAGTCAACCCCAGACGCAGACTTCGATGACTCTGTCCCTCCAGGTCTTCATAAGCAGAAGAACAAATACATGTTCACAGCCAGTTTGAGCACTTCCCATTCTTTGTCAAAATTATTATTTTTTAAATTAAAAAAAAAAGGCCTGCTTTGTGTGGTGGCACATTCCTTTAATCTCAGAACTCAGAAGGCAGAGGCAAGCAGATCACTGTGAGTTCAAGGCCAGCCTGCCTAGTGAGACACTGTCTCAAAAACAGACAAACTCACAGGAATGTATTCTATGTTGAGCGCAGGGTCTCCATCTCCAGCCCTCCCGTCCCTTTTCTTGGCCCTCCCCATCCCTTAACCCCCTTGTTCTGGACAATCCATTTCGATTTACACCTAATCTATACACACACGACTTTATGTGGCCACGTAAGATTCTTTTAAGCAATTCACTGTAGTGTGTGTTTTTTGGAAAGGTCTTTGCAACTGTGGTGTCTCTACCAGCTAACATCAAGCTCCTGAGGACCAGGCACAGAAACTTCAGCTCCCAGTCTCCCTTCTCCACTCCCTCCTGCTCCCCGTTCCCTGTCTGTCTTCCCTTTCCCTAGTCCTCCCCTCCCTCCCCCATCTCTCCCTCGTCTTCTGTCCTTCTCCCTTCCGTTCCCCATCTCTCCCTCCCCCTCCCATCTTCTCTCTCCCTCCCTTTCTCTACCCCCCCACCTTTCCCTTCCCTTCTGTCCCTCTACCCCCCTTCTATCCCTCCCCCTCCCATCTTCTCTCTCCCTCCCTTTCTCTCCCTCTGCCTCCTTCCAGCTCACCATCTTCTCTCCCTCTTCCCCCCACCCCCCTCCATTGCCTTTGTGGGTATAGATTTTATATTTTCACACACTTTTTTTTTTTAATCAACAGAACATTTGTGGAGGGAATGCATAAAAACTATCAGTCATTATTCAGGAAGGACCCTGTAGACTTTTATAACAAAATCAAGATAAGTGACTTACCAACTTCGTGTCTGAGGAAAGACGTCAGGCAGGCCCAGCGTGTCCTCTGAGCAGCTTCCCTCACCTGTTGCCAGCAGACACCCTTTTCCATCCCAGGGCTTGGCCTGTTAATCATTGATGAGGGGCATCAACAGAGAAGCTCAAGAAGGGCTTCTTTCCAAGTGACTTTTAGCTAATGCCTAGACACTGAGCCTTTGGACAGCTGGAACCTTCCAGCCTGTGCAGCCGGGGTCTTTCACCAGCCGTGACCTTCACCTCCGGCCTCCTGGCCTGCTGTCTCCTCGGAAGCTCAGAGGAACGTCCAGGCCCTGCACCTGTATGTGGTCGGTGGTGGCATTGCTAAAGTCATTTGTTCTGCTAAGAAAATGTTGGCCGATCAAAAAAGAGAAATTATGATTAAATGCGGAGGTTTAAGCGCTTTCACATTCCCCTTTTCTTTGCTATTGTTACCTTTAAAATCTTGCTTTTTCCTTCTTTGAAGTATGTGAATTGCAGCATTACAGACAAACTCGAACTTCGTTCCCTGTTCCTTCTCCTCGTCTCTGGGTTCTCTCTCCTTCCCTAACCAAACCAATCTAAACCAAACCAACGCAAACAAACAAAACCCAGAAGGATCTCTCATAAACACAGTGTGGTTCTGCATATTTTAAATATTTTTTTACTTGTATTCACAAATTACATAATGTTCATGATTTTTTTCTAAATTTGCATAATGTTATGTAATATGGGAAATTCTCACCTTCATTTTTAAAAAAAATTGTTTGAGAATGTCATACATCCATATAACGCATTTTGATCCGACCCGACCCCTAATCCTCCCATTTCTCCCCTAACCACTCCACCACGTTTCCCTCCTGAATTCATGAGCTCTTTCTTTTAAAGCCTACTGAATCCAGTTAGTGTTGTGCATGGTTGTGGGGCCACCTACTGGAGCATGGGGAGCCTCCCAGGGGCATCCCTGAAGAAAGCTGACTCTGTTCCACTCCGACACCCATCAATGGTCAATAGCTCCTCAGCTAGGGGCTGGGCTTCGTCAGCCTCTCCGCCATCTTGAATGTTGGCTCTCTTGATGTTCTGCAGGTCTTGTGCGCGCAGTCGCGGCCTCTGTGAGTGCGTGTGTACACCAGCCCTGTCATGTCCAGCAAATACTGTTCACTGCAGATGTTTACCACCTTACAATGTTTCTACCCCCTCTTCCACAACCACCTCTGAGCCTTGGGGGGAGGAAGTATGATAGAGTTGTCTCCTTTAGAACTGAGCACTCCACAGTCTCTTAATCTCTGCAGGTGGATCAGTTGTGGGTCTCTGTATCAATCTCCATCTACTGTAAAAAGAAGCTTCTCAGATGAGGCTTGAGAGATGCACTCATGTGTGGATTTCATTTTTCTTTATAGCTGAATGATAGTCATTGGTTATATGTACATCTTCGTTATCCATTCATCAGCTGATGGACATCTAAGCTGTTTCCATCTCCAGACTATTGCGACTAGAGCATCAGTGAGCATGGATGAACAGGCATCTCTGTAGTAAGATCCAGAGTCCTTTGGGGGAAATGCCCACGAGTGGCATAGCTGAATCTTATGGTAGATCTATGTGTCCCTTTGTGAGGCACCTTCACATTAACTTCCAGTAAGGAAGACGAGATTGAAAGCCTCGTGCCAGTGCCGACACAGCAGGAGCCAAACGTTGTTTCTCTAGGTGGACACTTAACACCTTGGAAGTTGAAAACGTTCTCAACTGCTTTTCAGGCTGGTTAGGAGTGAGTCTGTTCCTGTCTCAAGGGTGAGGGAACGCTTCAGCTGTCCTTTTTCTAGGTAGTTACTGTCCACTCCTCCGACTGCACTGGGCTTGTGACTCAGGCCGAGCATTGATGCCAGTCTGTATCTACGGAAAATGAACGTGCTTCTGTGTGCTCAGAGCGCCTCTGCCTTTAGCTCATGTTCACTTTGACTTTAGATCCCCTCCTGCTTTGAAGAGCTCTTTTGATTTTGAGTTTGATTATATGTATTGTAGGGGAATAAACTACCTCCCAATAATGGGGAGTACAGGCTGAAGATTGGCATTCTGTTGCATCTGTTACTGAAATGAGTAATTCAGAGGGAGTTCTGGGTCCTGGGGAACTAGGTCTTTCCTGGGCATCCATCATCAGCATCTTCAGAATTATTTCCCCAAAGTTATGCTCTCTGTAAGAGAAAGAAAAAGCACAGACCAGTTCCACCTGCACTTTCGGAATTTAAGTATTGAAAAGTCTGAGTTCATTAGGGACCTTACAAATGTCACCTTCCTGTGTAAAAGATTTTTCCCTGAGTCATTTTCAAAGAACTCTGGACTCTAGTATAAATAATCAACCGCTTCAGAATTCCAATATTTTTAACTCTGAATAAACCAAGTCAGACTATGTGACTTTGGTTTGCGATTTAATTTTTAACTTCATTTGAAAATTCTCATGAATTTTAACCACTTGAGCTTAACATTTTACTTGGTTTGACTTCATAAACAAATAGACAAAAGATACTTCGGTGCAGAAAAAAAAAATTCCAGCTTTGCCTTGTCTCTACAAGTAGTTTTAGACACTTGAATATATTGAAATATTTTCTTGACTTAAACTGTAGTACCCACCTTAAGAAAACTTGTACACTTCCCTTTTATTTGAGCTTCAAATTGCTTTGTGTCAGTATTAGAATCTTCATATTGAATAGAATATCCATTTCTCCCCCTTGACCTGACAGTCATCTAGTGCTTTCCATAGGACTGTAACCAACTGTCCTTAATAATTAGCCATATGGCAACTCACCAGGACTCTGGCTTCCATTCTGATCAACATTTCAGAGGACTCCGGTGCACAGGTGCTCAGATAAGCCTGTCACCACTAGTCTAGACCAGGCCAGGCTGTGTTAGAGGAAGGAGGGTTTCTGTGTGCACTCAACCAAACCTCACAAAGGCAAGTAGAGAGCTGGTGATTCAGGGGCAGCTGTTAAGCAATTGCATCAAATAAGCTGCAATTTGACACAGTGCTTAATTAGGTGTGGCTTTGACTCGTCAGACTTGTGCTTGCGAGTGATAGAGGTCCGTTTGAAATGACTTTGGGAAAACGGGAAGAGAAAAAGAAAAGGTGACGGCGAACAAGGTCGCGGGGGATCAGAACGAGAGAATCTCTTTTCCCCAAACGAAGCAAACCCTCCTGACTCTTGTTCCAACTTTCCTTCATCTTCTCCAAGAGAACAGCAACATATCTTTGGACTTTTTTTTAATCTCATTCTTCATGAAAGAAAAGAAAAGCAGCTAGGCTTAAATTGTAAGCCTGAAAATCCTTAGGACAGGTTCTTTCTGACTGAGGTCAGAATCGTCCTCACCGCTTGAACCAGTCACTGTGGAGCTGTGGTGTAGTCGAGAACCATGAATGGCCACTCCCCTCATCACAATATTTTTCAAGCTAAGTTATTACTCTCTTGGAAAATGAGCTTAGTGCCTCATAAAGATTATTACAAATAAATAAATAGCTAGGCTGGGCACGGTGGCTCAGGCTGCTAATCCCAACACTCGGGATACAGAGGCAGGGAGATCTCTGTGTGTTGGAGGCTAGCCTGTTCTACATAGAGAGTTACAGGCAAGCCAGAATTATGTGGTAAGACCCTAACTCAAACAATTTACTCACTAAATTAATTGCAAATAGGTTAAGCTAAAGCAGAAAGGAATAGAGCAATGAGGATTATTTTGCAAAGACTTCAATTCCAGAAAGCACTTATCTAGTAAGTGTATATATGAGCACACTGTAAATAAAAAAAAAAAACCTTTTTAAATGTAAAAATGCTTACTTCTCACAGTAGATCAAGCTCCCAAACAAAACTGTCTTTACACTAAACACATCTTAGATATTTTGTTTGTACTGATGATGTCTCATCTCTGTTTTTCAGAAAGGTCAAACTAGAAAATAAACTGGATCACTTCCCATAATCTGTGGGCTTAATAAGCAGATTCACCCATTTCTTCTTCGGACTCCAAAGTTGAGGGCTGTGTGTGTGTGTGTGTGTGTGTGTGTGTGTGTGTTTGTATGTGCATGTGTGTGTGTGTGCGTGCGTGTGTGTGTGTTTGTATGTGCATGTGTGTGTATGTGGTGCATGTGTGTGTGTGTGTGTGTGTGTGTGTGTGTGTATGTGTTCACTCTGGGCCAGCCTTTGTTTCACAGTCTAGTCTGGAAGGTTCTGGTTGTTAGATGATACTAGGTGTGTAGAAGAAATAAAAGCAAGTTTAGACTAGTGTCTGCCAGATGTTCAATTATGAAGCCACCTGACCATCACATTGCACCAAATACTCATTCCTGGCAGGTACAAAAGCATCCCAGAGGCAAGAATCTTACCCTGACAGTGTCACACAAAGGAGATCACTCTAAACCAGTGGCTTGGGCACAGGCTCATTTCGAAGCCAAGCGTGGGAGTGCTCCAGAATGTTGTAGGTGAGGGGCCTCGCTGGACTCTGCAGCAACTGACCCAGCCAAGCCTGGCTTTGGCTGATATGGGGCTAACAGTGGCCTTCTACCTGTGATCCCTTTTTGTGTAATCCAGGCTGACCACTCTGGGTGATGTATTGGAGAAAATTTGCAACCAATCGCTGCATACATATCACCTTACGTTAAACTACTTAAAGGCAAAAGTAATGTCTTAACATATCAAATGCAAAGTATTAGAACACATCCATTAAACCTGAAGAAAGAAAGAAATCAACAGTTAAAAATATTGTAAGCCAGGCATGTTGGTCTAGTCTTTAATTCCAGCACTCCGGAGGCAGAGGAAGGCGGATGTCTGTGAGATCCAGGCCGGCCTGGCCAACAGAGTGAGTTCAAGGTCAGCTGGGGCTAAGGGAGACAACCTCAAGAAGACTAAAACTAAAACCAATAGAAATAAAATTTATTTTAACTTGACTGCATGCAAATACAGAGGCCCAGGGAGCAAAACTGACTTAAAAGTGCTTTCCAGGACACCACACCAAAGTGTTTTGCACAAAACCCCAACTTGCATGAAAATATGATGCTAAGGTTTTAGGAAAACACTGGCACTTAGTACTGCAAAACACAGGGCAAGGGGGCTGTCCGGTTAGCCTCTGCTGTCCATGAAACCCCGCAGAGCTCTGGGCAGAGCCCGGAAGGGAAGGTCCCCAGCTGGGCATCTTCTTGGGCAGCAGCACGGCCTGGATGTTGGGCAGGACGCCGCCCTGCGCGATGGTGACGCGGCCCAGCAGCTTGTTGAGCTCCTCGTCGTTGCGGATGGCCAGCGGCAGGTGACGCGGGATGATGCGGGTCTTCTTGTTGTCGCGGGCCGCGTTGCCCGCCAGCTCCAGGATCTCGGCCGTCAGGTACTCCAGCACGGCCGCCAGGTAGACCGGGGCGCCGGCGCCCACCCGCTCCGAGTAGTTGCCCTTGCGCAGCAGCCGGTGCACGCGGCCCACGGGGAACTGCAGGCCGGTGCGGGACGAGAAGCTGGAACCTGCAATCAGCTTTCTATTATTGTTGTTGTTATTGTTATATTAAATTATTATTTTATGTGTATGAGCGTTTTGCCTGCATGTAAGTTTCAAAAAAAAAAAAAAAAAAAAAACTGGATGACTCACAGCCAATAAATTTCAAGACACATTAACTAGAACTCTAATTTTTAAAACTAAGTGGGAGCCAGGTGTGGTGGTGCACACTTGTAATTCCTGGAAGTGGAGAGCAGGAGGATCATGAGTATAAGGTCAGCCTGGGCTACACAGTAAGACAGGCCAGGCTATGCCCATGGAGGTCAGAAGAGGGTGTTTGAGCCCCTGGAAATGGAATTATGGATGGTTGTTAGGTGCCATGTGGGTGCTGGGAATGGAACCCAGGTCCTCTGCAAGAGCAGCCAGTGCTCTAACCACTGAGCAATCTCCAGCCCTGCAATCAGCTTTCTTAATTGGCCAAATCCCTGAAAACACCTGTCAGACACCTGGAAGTGCTAATCCCACGCGTTTATTCCAGTGAAACCTTAGCATTATTAAGGCTCCATTTAAATGCAAGGGATCTATGGGACTCTTTTTGGAAACCATGCCATCATCACCTACTCCCCAACCAGATTAGAACTCCAGCGTCATATACCAAAGACACTTCCCCCGTTCCTCCTCTTTTTTCTTGAGGCATAGACTGTGCTGTGGCATGTACACACACATACACACACACACACACACACACACACACACTTGTGTAGGGTCAGAGGGCAATATCAGATTTCTGCCCTTGCCTTCTATTTTGTGGGATTACAGATGTGCAGGCTACTGTGTCTGGGTTCTAGACCTGCTTCTGTGGGTTCTAAGGCTGTGAACTCAGGTTGTCAGGATTACACAGCCAGTGCTTACCCACTGAACCGTCTCCTCAGCCCCAAGACAACATTTTAAGTCCAAACTGTTATTTTTTTTCATTTTTGGTGTCTTGCTTAAATAATGACAACAAACTTCACATCTAACCCTTACCAGTCTTCTCCCCGGGTCATTTGGAGATTTGGTCTCTCTCCAACTTCTCCTCGGAATTTTGCCCAGCTTCGGCCGACCCTGCTCCTGTGGGAATGTCTTACTCTTTGTTTTTAGAGTTATTTTGTTGAATCAGTAGTATTTACCGGGCACTGTCTTTATTTGGAGCTTTGAAAAACAGGCCGTGCAGCTCCCTTATTATTTGGACTTTGGTTCTTGTCATGAGAATGAATTTTAATAAAGTTTGTTTTCTTAAATCATTTCTCAATTGACAGGAAGTTTTGTCTTGCATGTGTGTTCTAAAACTGGCCAGTTATTTTTGGGTCTCGTCATTGTGGACAACTTTGTTAAACTGAACTGTCACCGTCGTCACCCTTTGCTGTCAGCCTGACACACTCGTGAACTGTCTGGGAAGAAGGACCTCAACTGAGGCATTCGCGCCATCAGATTGCCCTGTGGGCCTGTCTGTGTAGCATTTTCCTGACTGTTGATTAGAGTAGGAGGCTGGTCCACTGTGGGCGATGCCGTCCCTAGGCAGCTGTGCCCAGGCTGTATAAGTGAGGTGGCTAGCTGTCTGTGAGCCCGAGAACAAGCAGTAAACAGCATCCCTCCTTGGTCCCTGCCTCTGGGCTCCCGCTGGAGTTCCTGCCGTGACTTCCCTCAGTGAGAGGCCATGACCTGTAAGGTGAAATAAACCCTTTCCTCCCAAGTAGCTTTTGGACATGGTGTTCATCACAGCAACAGAATGAATCCAGAATAGCAATGAGGGCTCACCAACAGGCTGGACACGGCTCAGCGGTAGAGCACTTGCATATCCAGTTAGAGACCCTGGGTCTGAATTCCACACACACAAAGACAAGCTCAAAATAGGTCACAGACTTAAATGTAAAATATAAAATATAAAACTTTAAGCCTGGAATAGGGGCACATGCCTGTAATCCCAGCATTCTAGAGGTAGAGGTATGAGGATCATGAGTTAAAAGCCAGCCTGGGGAACAAAGAGCGGCTAGGTCTTTTTTTTTGGCTTGAATTTGCAGTATTCTTATATCTACCTCCCAAGAGCTGAGATCACTGGCATGTGCTAAGATACCTACTGTGTGTGGTGCTGGGGCTCGAACCCAGGGCTTCACAGATGCTAGACAAGTATTCTGTCAACTGAGTTTCTTCTTGCATTCCTACCCCCTATATCTTTGTTTCATTTTATAAATGTAGCACAATTAAAAAATTCATTCACTTACTGAAGGACATCTTGGTTGCTTTCCAAATTATGCATAAAGGTTCTATAAACATTCTTGTTGAGGTTTCTGTGGACATAACTTTTCTACTTATTTAGGTTAACATCACAGAGCATAATTGGTGGATTGTATGGTCAGAGTATATTTAGTTTTGCAAGCATCTACCAGACTTCCTTCCAAAGTGGCTGTGCCATTTTGCATTTTACCAGTGATGAACTGACATTCCTGTTTGACCAGCATTTCGAGTTTTCAGTGTCTTGGAATATCTAAGGTATCCTTGGGATTGGTAGGGACACTGCAGGTGCAATTAATCAAAAGCACAATTCATGAAGGAAAAATTAGTAAGTTGTACTTCATTAAAACTGCAAGATTTTACTCTATAAAATCTCATTAAGACAATGAAAAAGCAAGCCATAGATTAGGGGAAAATATTTCCAAACCTTTTATCTATTAAATGACGTCTCTCCAAAATATATAATGCACTTTTTGTTGTTGTTGTTGTTGTTTGGTTTGTTTGTTTGCTATGGAGACCAGGCTGACCTTGATCTCACAGATATCCCCCTGCCTCTGCCTCCCAGGTTCTGAGATTAAAGGCTACCTCTGGGACTATGCCTGGCTACAATGCAGTCTTAAAATTCCACAGAGAGCAAGGGTGTGGCTCAGTAATAGAGCACTTGCCTAGTATGTGTGACGCCCTAGGTTCCATACTCAGTACCAGAAGGGGAGGGAGGGGGGAGGGAGGAGGGAGGGAGGGAAGAAGCACACCACCAACATAGTCAACATCCCAACTACTTCATCTCGGTCGGAAAGCTCACGAGGGCAGAGCGCGATAATAAATATGTATGACAATGTCATAAACATGTTGTCTTCCCCAGATAGATGCTCATGAGGTTTATTTTCTGCTTCTCCAGTTACTCTGCACACTGAAAGAAGCTGAACAGTGCACGTTTGTGTTTGTGTGCTCGCACTTTTCCATTTCTCTCTTGGGGTTACACTTGACTTCCGGTATTGTTTGTGGCCTCCTGGATAGTGACAAAAGCAACCCCCAGACCTCGGGGTTCACAAGAATCTGTTTGACACGACTTGAGGAGAGGTCAGCTGCTGCCCTCTCCTACCCCATCTTCATATGGGATATTGGAGAATGCAGGGCTTCCTGTCCAGAGTGTGACAGGCCTGTGACAGAGGGAGAAGGGCACACATGAGCTACACAGAGGGAGAGGGACACATGAGCTACACAGAGGGAGAGGGACACACATGAGCTACACAGAGGGAGAGGGACACACATGAGCTACACAGGGAGAGGGACACATGAGCTACACAGAGGGAGAGGGACACATGAGCTACACAGAGGGAGAGGGACACATGAGCTACACAGAGGGAGAGGGACACATGAGCTACACAGAGGGAGAGGGACACATGAGCTACACAGAGGGAGAGGGACACATGAGCTACACAGAGGGAGAGGGACACATGAGCTACACAGAGGGAGAGGGACACACATGAGCTACACAGACGGAGAGGGGCACACATGAGCTACACAGAGGGAGAGGGACACACATGAGCTACACAGAGGGAGAGGGACACACATGAGCTACACAGAGGGAGAGGGACACACATGAGCTACACAGAGGGAGAGGGACACACATGAGCTACACAGAGGGAGAGGGACACACATGAGCTACACAGAGGGAGAGGGACACACATGAGCTACACAGAGGGAGAGGGACACACATGAGCTACACAGAGGGAGAGGGACACACATGAGCTACACAGAGGGAGAGGGACACACATGAGCTACACAGAGGGAGAGGGACACATAAACATGTTGTCTTCCCCAGATAGATGCTCATGAGGTTTATTTTCTGCTTCTCCAGTTACTCTGCACACTGAAAGAAGCTGAACAGTGCACGTTTGTGTTTGTGTGCTCGCACTTTTCCATTTCTCTCTTGGGGTTACACTTGACTTCCGGTATTGTTTGTGGCCTCCTGGATAGTGACAAAAGCAACCCCCAGACCTCGGGGTTCACAAGAATCTGTTTGACACGACTTGAGGAGAGGTCAGCTGCTGCCCTCTCCTACCCCATCTTCATATGGGATATTGGAGAATGCAGGGCTTCCTGTCCAGAGTGTGACAGGCCTGTGACAGAGGGAGAGGGACACACATGAGCTACACAGAGGGAGAGGGACACATGAGCTACACAGAGGGAGAGGGACACACATGAGCTACACAGAGGGAGAGGGACACACATGAGCTACACAGAGGGAGAGGGACACATGAGCTACACAGAGGGACAGGGGCACATGAGCTACACAGGCTGAGGTGAACGCCATGCCATCGCAAACTGTGTTGCTCCAAGTAAGCCACATTGTTACATTTGAATGTGGAATGTCCTCCACAGGCCTATGTGTTTGGACACTTGGTCCCCAGGTGGTAGTGCTGTCGTGGGAGGTTGTGGAACTTTTAGAAGGTGAATGAGGGGCTGGGGGGGCTGGCCTTGACGGTTACAGCTCAGCCTATATAATTCATTCATGAAGTGGATTTCTTTTTTAAAAAAAAAAAATCTATTATTTATTTATTTATCTATTTATTTTTATGTGTATGAGCATATTGCCTGCATGTATGTGAGTATGCCCGTGTCGTGTAATGCTGCAGAGGTCAGAAGAGGGCTTTGTATTCCCCTGGAACTGGAGTTAAGGACGGTTCGTAGCTGCCATGTGGGTGCTGGGAATCGAGCCTGTGTCCTGTGCAAGAGCAGTCGGAGCTCTTCACTGCTGAGCCATCTTTCCAGCCCCTGAGTGGATTTCTTGATGTTATTATTATTATTGTGGGGTGGAGCTTGTGCTGCAGCATATGAGGTCAGCGGACAGCTGGGTGCTGTTGGTTCTCCCTCTACCTGTGTGCAGGTTCTGGTCATTGGGCTTCTGCAGCAAGTGCTAAACCCACAGCCATCCCACAGGCCCTAGTTTTGCTTGTAACAGCAACTCTAGTTATCTGGTGTTTCTTCCCTCATACAACACGGTTGCTCTGTTGTTCTTAGTTTTATTTCAATCAGTGTGTTCATTTCTACCATTTCCTCTTATGCTACTTTTTTAAAAGGTTTATATTTGAGGGCTGGAGAGGTTCCTCAGTGGTTAAGAGCATTGGCTGTTCTTGCAGGGTTCGATTCCCAGCACCCACATGGCAGCTAACAACTGTCCATAACTCCAGTTCCAGGGGAATACAATGCCCTCTTCTGAGCGCCACAGACATTGCATGACATGGGTGCACTTATGTGCATGCAGGCAATGCACTCACACACTTAAACATAATAAATAAAATATTTTAAAAAGTTTCTATTCCAGTGAAACAAATAAAGATACAGGTTTTAATGAAGATGTGGGAAGACTCTTCGAGGTAACTGATCTTTTCTAGGAACATTTTAAGGTTTTTAAGGGGAGCAAATGATTTTCTGGGTAGAAAAGCAAGCACAAGGGAAAATATACACGAAAGGTTGTTCGGTGATCAGTTACACGTTAGGACTAGAGGGAAGAATCCTACGTTTGATGCCTATAAAGCCTGTGAATTTGCAGATTCTTCAGGACGTATGGAAAATGCCAAATAGCAGCAAGTCTACAGAAAGGAGCTCAAGAGATGTTGACAAGACAGGAAGAGAGAACGGCAGTCTGATAGGAAGGAGGGAGGATGGAAGGCCGGTGGCATCCTGCCCACTCGGCAACAGGACACTGACCCTGGATTGCTGAGTTAGCAGCCATGTCAGGATTGGTGCCAAACACATTACAGAAAACAAATCAGATAGCAGTGAAGAAAAGGCCAGGTCCAGGGAGGAGTTTTCAGCAGTAAAGACACCAAGAGCCCATGTGATTTTCTAGGGTTCTGAGGAGGTGGCAAAGGGGGTGGAGGACCTCCGTCCCAGGCTGTGGGATCCTAGGGAGGGCCAGGGAAACAGACCTGATGGGTCAGGTACAGACCAGCGTAACCAAGCACTGCCCAGTGAGAGCACTCCTTTCCAAATGCCCCTGCTGTGACCCTGGGGCTCATGACCACCAGATCAGCTGGCATCTTAGTCATTTTAAGAGAGAAATGGAGCACCCTGCAAGGTAAGTGGAAGTTGACGTCGTGGCATCTCCTTTGCACACCACTCCTGCGTGCTAGAACACAGCAGTTCTGCTTGAAAAGAACTCAGTGCAAAGCTTAGGAGCAATTAACTTCAAGGGAGTGTGTGACTAAGGATCACAGCTGCCTAAGAGAAAGAGCTTCTTGACTTAATTGAAACTTAGTCAAAATTATATTCCGTTCTGAGCCCCTTGGACACATTGAATTCCCTCCTCTGTTTGGGTGTTTATATCTGTCAATCACCATGCACAGTTGCCACACTCTATATTGGCTAAGCAATCATCCCTCAGGATTGGTTCTTAGAACCAAAACAAGAATTTTCATGGACCTAGGTCAGTGCAGAACTGCAGGGAAGTTTTCCTGTGCACTGATCTTTGTGGGACTCAGCTTCTTTGGTCCTCTGTGATTTTCTCCTCTCTTTCGTGGCACAACTTCTGCGATAGCTCCCTAGGCAACGGGGTGACATGTGAGTCCACAAAGCTGGACCGTTGGAGGCAATTCACCCTTGAGACTAGATGGTGCTTTCTGGATCTGAAAAATTACATATCAAAAGAGTTAGGGGACTGGAGAGACCGTCAGTTAAAGTGCTTTCTATGCATGAGGACCTCAGTTTGATCCCCAAGTATAGGCGAGCACGCGCTGGGCGCCCGGGGTCCCGCGCGCACTCTCGGGATGGCACGTCGGGTCCACAGGCTTCTCCGCCATGCGCCTGGAGGAAGGCGGGTCTGGCTCCGCAAGCTTCTCTGGTGAGCCGCGTTCTGTGGCACCGTGGCTCGTGTCTCCTGGATGCGGCAGCTGGCCGCGGCTTTTGGTGGTGAAAGCTCCTCCGCTGCTGGAGCGTTGTCCAGCCGAATTCTGCCCCTAATTCACCCGTGTACCTTCCTCAGGAAGTGAGGTCCACTGGCCACTGAACCACACGGGAAGAGTATGAGGACAGCGAAAGCTAGAATGTCCGCAAGTTGGTAACGGAGGAGTGCTGCCCCCTGGGGAGACTAGATTGCAGGCAGGAGACACAGGCTCAGTCTACAGCTCTTTATTCCAAGTCTCAGTGACCCAGTGATCCTGCTCTAGTTCCAGCTCTGCTTCTAGCCCCCAATATTGAGAGAAGACTAGGATATTTATACCATGGGGGTAGTGGTAAAAGCTTTGGCTGTTAGATACTTTGTGAGGCATTCATATGGACATATGGAAGTAGGTTTCTGCCAGACTGTTGACTACCTGAAAAATCACATAGGAAGGCATGGTATTCCTGGAGCCAGAGGCCATGTTTATGTTTAGAGCATTTGTGGCGGGCACTTCAAAAGGAGTCAGGAAGGATGCCAGGTACTCTGCTGAAAGGAGTCTCAGCATATGATTCCGAGCTGCATGAGCTCTCCGGATGTGAAGGGACTTCTACTTCACAGCAGGGGCCCCCAACACCCAAGAACCTACATAAAAAAGCCAAGCATGGTGGCACATAGTTGTAGTCCCGGTTCTGGGGAGACAGAGGGAACATAGCCCTGAGGCTTGTTGGCTGGCCAGCCTAGTCTACTTGGTCAGTTCAACGGCAATGAGAGACCTTGTCTCAAAACACAAGGTGCCTGGGGGAACAGATGAGGTCCTCCTTTCTCCACCTCTGTGGTTTCAGAAAAGCACTGGACAGTCAGGCATGATGGCACACACCTGCAGTCACAGGGGAATGAAGCAAGAGGGTCAGGAGTTCAAGGACCGCACAGGCTACGTAGTGAGACCCTGTGTCTCAACTCTCTCTCCTTGCAAAAGCAACAAGATATGACAACTCTGAAAGTGGTTTCAACACAGACTGAGGCAGGCAGCTCCGCTCTCCCCCACTGGAACAAGAATGGACTCTGAGCCGTCACCTCACACTTGAGTCACTAAAAGAATGACTTGTTTATTCAACTAGCTCACACAATATGTAGTTCAGAGCCTAAGAATTTTGGCAGAACTCAGAGAAACAAGATGTGGAAGCAGAAATATCCTTACTTTGTTTTGGCCAATAGCTGATTTCGGTAGAACTGGTTTGGGTAGAGCTGGCTTGATTCCTCAAACATTAGAAAGGAAAAAATTAGATTTTCTATAAACGTATTTCTTACCTTCCCTCACCAGCATCGCAATTTTATTTCGGGGAATGATTTCTTGCCCACTGTGTGTGACATACAGTAATGAGTGGTAAAGGAAGACTTTCTTTGGAAGCTGGAAGTCCACAGGGTCTGTCTCTCTTAAAGCAAAGGAGTGGACATTTAAACTAGTTTTCACTGATTAAATTGTGTCCTGAGACTTTGAATATTGAACAGAGGAACAGGCCAGTAGAGACTACAGGTTCAACCTCATTTATTTCAGCAGTGGAGCAAGGTGCTATAAATGAAGGCATTTAAAGTTTCTCTTTAATCCTGGGAACAGCCTCGTCTCAATTTCTTTCAATAAGTATATATTTTTTAAATATTTTATTTATGATTTATTATTTTTATGCGTATGTGTGTATTGCCTGCATGTAGGCAAGTGCACCCGTGTTGTGCAATGCCCACAGATGACAGAAGAGGCTGTCGGATCCCCTGGAACTGGAGTTTCAGACAGTTGTTAGCTGCCATGTGGGTGCTGGGATTCGAACCCGGGTCTTCTGCAAGAACAACCAGTGTTCTTGACCACTGAGCCATCTCTCCAGCCCCTCAATAAGTATATTTACAGCAGGAGTAATCCAACTATAACACAAAAATCTTGACTTACAAACTTGGAAAAATTTCAGTATGAAAAAGATGAATATCATGGACTATGAACACTTGGCATACTTGTTAAAGATTTTATTTTTTATTTATTTATTTTTATTTTATTTTTTAATTATGTGTATGTCTAAGGGTTTGTGCACAAGAGTGCAGTGTCTGAGGAGGTCAGAAGGTGGCATCAGGTTCCCTGGCGCTGAAGTTACAAGTGGTTGTGATCCACTTGGTGTGAGTGCTGGAAATTGAACACCGTCCTCTGTGAGAGCCGTACATGCCCTGAGCTGCTACTGGCTCTCCAGCCCATCGCTTTCATATTTCTAAAGAAATCTTTCCCATGGAAAGAAATTCTTAAACTTTTTAAAACTTTGTTAAAGCCTCAAACAAACATATATTACATGAATCCAGTTTTAAAATACGATAATTGGCTGGAAGTCTTTTTAAAATATATTTTTCCTGGAAAACGATACAATCGCAAATTTTAAAAATACAAACATGGAAGACAGAGAAGACTACTGCTTAAAGACAAGTAATGGACATGGGCTTCAGTTTCTTCTGATTGGGGATTTTGCAAATAATTTTGAAAACTTTAGGTCCCCTTGGAGCATTTTGAACCTGACCAATAACCAAAACTTTTCATCAAAAACATCAGTTATTTTGAAAATAAAAGATGGAATTGGGTGAGAGATGGCTACAAGGAGAATAAATGTTTCACGACATGATTCCACTCGGTTTTAACCACTCGGTTGTATAGTTCCCACCAAATCTAGAAATAGTCACATACTTTTTTTTTGCCGAGGATTTTTATCAAATTTATCTTGAAACTTGGTGCTTTGGGAAAATGTTCCAGCTCCGCCTGTTAGAACCAGTTCTTAATCTTCCTGTGCTTTGTGTTTCCGTGATGGAAGAAAGACAGGGGAGGCCAGAGCCTGGGCGAGGGGACCAAGGGACCGACCATTAACAGGACAGTTAGGTCAAAAGCTTGGAATGATCCCTTTGTTGACAATGGGTGATGCTGATACTTCAGGTGTTGCATGAAAATAAGGTATGGATGTCTTTAAAATAAATAACTCACTAAGTGGACAGGCGGCGGAAACAAAGCATGCTTGCAGTGTGTCAGAGGTTATAAAAAAAAAAAAGAAGAAGCCAGACCTTCAGATGCAGGTAAAATGAATGTAAAAAGATAATTTAATAAAATGTTTGAGTATTGTGCAAATATATTTTACATGAGGTTAAAGTGGATAACCCACCAAGGTAACATAATTTGTTAGAATTGATTGAAAACAATATAGAGCTCTTTAATAGATTAATAACTAAGGAAATGAAGACAACTATTGAAGTGGTCTTAGATGACTTCAGGCTATATAGTTTTCCAATCAAAGCTTTCAAGCTTTCAGATAAGAACAGCAATTATAACAGTTTAGTTTACTGATCTTTTCAGATTATTGGAAACATAGAAAATTCTCTTTTTGTCTCATATTAAAAGCACAAAAACCACAGGTAGTGTGTGCGCAGCAGAGCCCCTCATACATCAGTACATCGACCCAAGTCCTAAATAAACCGTTAGCAGATCAGATCCCATTATATAGGAAAGGAATGCTCAAGGAAAATACTGCTCAATATTAAAAATACAGTTCATAATATTTAACATTCAAAAAGAAAGAGCTGATCTCCTCATCGCTACACAGCAATAAACTGTTTGGCAAAAGGGAGCCACTGTGGGCTGCTGGGCCTCTCTAGGTTTCTGGGCACTGTACGTCTCACTTCCAAGGTCAGACTTTCTTGGGAGCGTGGGCTCACTCACTGTGCTGTTTGGGAACTCACTCTTTGATCCCCAAGCTGACAGCTGCTGTGTTTCCTGTCCTGATTCTGGAGGGTCCGGAGACGACAAAGGAGACGATCGGGCCCCTTCCCACTTTCCATGGGTCGGACTTAAGCAGCCGAAGGGAGAGGAGAAACTGACAGGACAAGGTCCTGAATTTAGGTTGACATTCCAGTTTTAACCTACGTCATATGTACAAGTTGTAAATGTTATGCTTTTCACAAAATAAACATATCTGTGTGTTCTTAGCTAGCACAAAAGACAAGAAATTGGACATCATCCACTCCCTGGGGGTCCATCTTCAACATCCTCTACCCTGGCAGGATTCCCGCCTCTTCCATTTTAACAGCATATGCTAGTTTTGTCTGTTTCTAAAAACTCTCTATAAACCTCTAACAATATAGCTCTTCCGCCTCCATGGCACTGTGTACTGGCCTCTGTTTATTCTCAGCGCTCTGTCAACAGACCACGATGCCTTCCTTCCTTGGTCAAGCAACTTAATCCTTCCCGTTTGGCTGTTGCAAGCAGTGCTCCTATGAGTCTTGCCCATGTCTTCACGTGCATGGTCCTTTCTAAGTGAAATCTGTCTTTGAAATTGTATATTTAGCTCTTGAGACATTTTCAGGCAGCTTTCTAAAGTTTAATCTAATTTGTATCATCTATAAATTCCAGCTTCTCCACACCCTTGCCAACTTGCTATTTTCATAGTTCCTCGTTTTATCCATTCTGATAACAGTCTAATGGAATCTCACTGTGGCTTTGATCTTCATGTTTTAATGATTAATGAAGTTGAAATTAGTTTATTTTTTTTTTAATTGGCCGCTTGGAATAGAATTTCTCTT